ATCAGCAGACGAGGCGTACCGAAATGTATCATCTCCGACAACGCCAAAACATTTCAAGCAGGCGCTAAGACACTGCAAACGCTTGAAACCCATATACTAAAAGAAACCGACTGCCAAAAATTCCTCACAAATCACGGCATCAAATGGCAATTCATCACAGAGAGAGCTCCGTGGTGGGGAGGGTTTTACGAGAGAATGATAGGGCTGATGAAACGAAAACTCAAGAAGACAATAGGGAAAGCCTCATTGAACCCAGTAGAGTTATCTACAGTCTTAACAGAAATCGAGGCCATTCTGAACAATCGACCTTTAACGTACACATACAGTGACATCGATGATGGTCCTCCTCTGACACCTTCTCATTTTCTATGTGGTCGAAGACTWATGTCAATTCCCTATCCAGAACCGACTGACGATCCAGACTATTCCCCAACAGATGTCACACCCAATGAGCTGACAAAAAGATGGGCGTATAGAGAAAAGCTAATGGAGGTATTTTGGAAGCATGTTGAAACTCCAGGGAGTGTTTATAAGCCTAAATGGTGGGAAGATCTAGATGACGACACACCAAAAGAAAAACTAAATCACTTTCTTGCCAGCAGAGATATAAGTCCAATCAGATGCCAGCTCAAGACACCTTGGGACACTGCCAGTGAGCGAACAAGAAGGTACCACACCCACAAAGCCAAACAAGTTGTCTCGGCCGTGCTAGAAGAAATAGCGCCTCAGGATCCTGAGAATCTTTGGACTTCTCTGGTCAATGCTCAACCATCACTCAAAGAGTCTGAACCGCAAGATACAGTACTTCTTGGTTTATTGTCTGAGTGCTATCTGAATGCAGACCATTGGAGCACGAAAAGACAAATTCTCTCAATAATCGCCGATCATGTATCGTCCAAAAATGGATCCCTGGGATCACAAGGTAAGCTATTCCACGCGGAAGAATTGTCACAAATCCAGAAATTGTCGGAAAAGCATTGTAAAATTAAGAATAGTTTGTACAAAGGATGCTACCAGATTGTAGTTTAATATTCTTTTTGGCGGTGATTATCACCAAAACGTTATTGTTAGTAATCGTCGTAATATAATGTTCAGTTTTGCTATATTGCTTCCATAGATACAGATTCAATGCTGCAAGAAATCATCAAGCATTACATGGTAGGGGATMCAAAGTTCAMGTTCCTCACCAAACTCGAATGTATGTCTCCAATCAGCASCTCGACCATTTTCTCGAATTTATTACCAGTAGTCACGTCATTCAAGACGTCCCATATGGTAATAAGAAGATAAAACTGTCAACAAATGAGGAGATTACAGTGCCGAATGTMATCAGGACTATCATTCCACAAAGAATTGTCCAACAATACACTTTGTTTTGAAATGAGAAAGGTTTCAAGCCTATGGGGCGCAGCACCCTACTCCGCATCCTAAATGTATGTTCTGCATCCATTAGAAAATCTCTTCAGGGTTTAGACAATTTCAGCGCAGATGGAACCAAAGCGTTTGATGAATTGGAAGAGGTCGTTGAAAAACTGAGTGATGTCTGTGAACTCAGTCTATCGTGGACAAAAGAAAAGAAAGAAGAGTTAAAAATGGCCAAACGTTATCTCAAGGGTGACTATAAGGTAGTTCACTCAGTATACAGCCTTTTGCACAAATTATGAGACATTTTTATATATATAAATATACCTAACCAAATACAGCCGTTTGCAATAATTCTGACCCCCCTACACTAATATTCATATATATCAAAATAGTCTTAGAAATTATGGGATACCATTGCTGATATTTTTTTTACAAAGTACTCATTCTGGACAACTATATCAGTCATGATATCCCATAATATTAAAGGTCAGTTTGATATATATGAAATATGGCAGAGGGGGTTAGAATTATTGCAAACAGCTGTATCAAAAACACCCCAGAAATTATGGTATATCTCTATTATATTTTGTCATGATTGCCTAGCATCAGGTTGTTACAGACAAAATATCAGCGACGGTATCCCATAATTTCTTAGGTGTTTTTGATATTTGGTTAGGTATATTTATATATATAAAAAATTCTCATAATTTGTGCAAAAGGCTGTACTGTTGATTGTATGGCAATATAGCAAAATATTAAAAAAAAAACACTATTTCAGGTACATGTATCAAGGATTTCCACCGTCGCCGATCATTGTAGAGAGTACGCTCTCAGTTACAGTAAAGACAAAGATTATCAAGCAGCTTGTGGACACGAGCATGAGGATATCTGTGMTCGATGTCAACAAATCTCGTCAGTCTTGAACGATATTGAGAAATCTCTAGAGGAAGGAGAGTGCCCGAATGCTATCAGATCTGAATTGTCGTTTGTGATTAAAGAAGCTAAGAAAAACATAAGTTCATGGAAATCAYACCTACTTCGTTCCGTAAACCAAGATGAACGTAGATTGGAAATATTAAGTACGCTTGATAAAGACTCGGTTCTCTTATGGCTAGACTGGGCGATGAAATACAAACCCCAAAGATACAGAGAAAGTCAGAGTGAATGGTTTGGGAAAAGGGRCATTCCCTGGCACAYTACCGTAGCAGTCCGAAAATCCTCAGATGGCACTTTAGAGACGATGACTCTCGTTCATATCYTTGAAAGTGTCACCCAAGACAGCRACGCTATCCTYGCCATATTAAATGATGTATTCCAGCAGTTGAAAGTAGCAATGCCACACGTTAAAAGCGTTTTCCTACGCCAAGATAACGCGGGATGTTATCATAGTGGTTTGAGCATCATTGGAGCCAGATATGTAGCGAAGAAAAACAGTCTCAATCTAGTTAGCATGGACTTCTCAGATCCTCAGGGGGGCAAGGGTAGCTGTGACAGAAAGGCAGCAATTATAAAATCCCACATGTCAGTGTTCTTGAATTCTGGTCACGATAKCAMTACTGCTGAGCAAATGAAGCAGGCCATAGATTCATCTGGAGGTGTCCCAGGAGTAAATGCGCGTCTTTGTTCCATGGAAACAGAATCACAAAGTCAAATTAAGTGGGAGGGAGTGAGCTTTGTAAATAATATCCAGTTCTCGGCCACTGGTATTCAGGTAAGCTATACTATGATATTCTTTTGCAACATGCTGATTTGAAAATTGCACACATGCAACCCACCATATAGATGGACATGGTATATTTTTTGACTTTTGTTTGAGTGTGCGCTAATTAGATTTAACTATGGTGACATTAGTCTAGTCGCATTTAAAATAAAAAAAACTATTTAATAATGACGATGAGATGCATGTCTCAGCACAAACATCAACACAATCCTATTCTAATATAGGTTTGGAAGGCTTATAACATCGGACCTGGACCTGCCTCTATATTGTAATGCGCCGTGCATGGCTGCACYTTCCAAATCTCTCTATATTTTATTCCGTTTTTGTACTAAATTTGTATTTACATGGCTTTTTATGGTCCTCAAAGCTTTTATAAGAAAACAAGGAGTAAGTGGTCTCGTTTTCGAGGGAAAAGAGCCGGTCGGCGAGTAAGGGAAAGAGAAAATAGACTTCGCTATTCCATCGGAGTGCGCCAAACCAACCGTGTCAACCCTTCTCGAGTCAGACGTACTAGAAAAAAGGCCAACTGTATTTCCATCCGTCTCTCAAAGAATCAAAACCTAAATGATGGAAAAAAGCTTTATGTTCCTTCTGTTCCAATGTCGAACGTAATGTCCTTAGCCCCTAAATTGGATGAAGTCGCCGAAGTCATTACAAATGCAAATCTTGACATTGCATGTATAACAGAAACCTGGCTGAATGAACACATACACAACAACATCGTTAGTATTCCTGGGTATAACCTAGCTAGAAGGGACAGGATAGGCGTTCTTCATGGAGGCGTTTGCACTTACATCAAGAAAGGGTTGAAGTATACCGTATTGGACGATCTATATGACGAAAAAATCGAAGCCATTTGGATTCATCTTCGACCTTCGCGTCTCCCTAGGGGATTATCCAACATAATCATCGGTAATGTTTACCATCCACAAACGGACAAAGGCGTTTCAGATCCCGAGATTTTGAACTATCTCTACGAATCCATGTCCAGAATTGAATCCCGCTATTCGAACTGCGGAATTCTGATTGCTGGTGATTTCAACAGGCTGGATACTTCTAGATTTAAAAACGCCTTTAAACTACAACAAATTGTTAAATTCCATACCAGAGGAAATAGGACCTTAGATCTCATTCTAACCAATTTGAAAGATTTCTATGAGGAGCCTATTAAACGCCCAGCTTTTGGCCTGTCCGACCATGCAACTGTAGAACTACAGCCCTTGTCTCGCTGCAAAACACAGTCATCAAACCGAACAATCATCACGAGAGATCAACGAGAGAGTAACAGGGGTGCTCTAACCTCCTATTTGAAATCAGTAAACATCAAAGATCTCGTAGAAGGCAAGGAATCGTGCGAAGAGAAGGTACAGATACTAGAGGAGGTTATCATTACTGGAATGGACACAATTATGCCCATGA